CAGTGGTTTACATCACCTGTGCACTTTGTGAAATTTCCAAGCCATATACTTGAAAGTATCCTGTAGGCTGAATTGAAAGAATAAATTGAAGAGTATGATATTCATAAATTGTTAAAGGCAACACTTTAGGTGGCTTTAATAAAGTTTCCATGAGTGCTTAATATCATCATCTTGCACTTGGATAGTGTCTTGATTATCATCTGGGCCAGGTGGTCATCTGTCTCTTTGGCAGAAAGCATATCTCAGGCTACTTTGTGCATAGCAGTTCCCACCACATCTGAAGGTGGAGAGGTGGCCCATAGTTTGTTCCTACTCTTCATTCAAGAGCTGGTCATGGTGTCTTTGGAACAGTCTCTTACACCTTGTCCAACAACTGGTACTTTCAGTAATGCTGACACTTAATGGCCCATGGGCCTTATTTTTTTAAGGCATACCAGTTTCCAATGCCACATGAGAGGATGATGTGCCTAGCATCACATCTAGCTGTCCAAATGATCATTTGCAGGCAAATCAACTGGGGACTACTTTTAGCATAAGACCAGAGAAGGGCTTGAACTCATGCCTCTGGAGTCATGGAGATCACCTTAACTGTTCTGTCACCAGAATCTCTCCCATAAATACTAAATTAGTTAATTTATGCCAAGACAAGCGTTGAGGGAGGAAGAGGATGGAGGCGATTTTTAACAACCTCCCCATCAGTTCTGATTACAATATACCATGTGAGTGGTAGTGAAAATGATGTGTTGTGAAAAATGAAAAGATTTCACAGATTTCATAGACATCAGGGCTGGAAGGGACCTCGGAAGATCATTGAGTCCAGCCCCCTGCCCAAAGGGCAGGAAGTCAGCTGGGGTCATAGGATCCCAGCAAGATAAGCATCCAGTTTCATCTTGAAGGTGTTCAATGAAGGCGCTTGAACCACCTCCGGTGGCAGGCTGTTCCAGACCTTGGGGGCTCGGACAGTAAAGAAATTCTTCCTTATGTCCAGCCTGAAACGATCTTGAAGTAGTTTGTGACCATTCGACCTCGTCATCCCTTGGGGTGCTCTGGTGAACAAACGTTCCCCCAGATACTGGTGGTCACCCCTGATAAACTTGTAGGTGGCCATCAGATCACCCCTGAGCCTGCGCTTTTCCAGGCTAAAGAGCCCCAGGGCTCTCAGCCTGTCATCGTAGGGTCTGCTTCCCTAACCTCTGATCATGCGCGTGGCTCTTCTCTGGACTCTCTCAAGCTTCTCCACATCCTTTTTGAATTGTGGAGCCCAAAACTGGACACAGTACTCCAGCTGCGGCCTCACTAAGGCCGAGTACAGGGGGAGAATGACGTCCCGGGATTTGCTTGAGAAGCATCTATGGATGCAAGCCAGCGTTTTGGTCGCTTTACTAGCCGCCGCATCGCATTGCAGGCTCATGTTCATCTTGTGGTCAATGATGACCCCCAAGTCTCTTTCTTCCATAGTGCTAGCCAACATAGCACTGCCGAGCCTATAAGGATGCTGCGGGTTTTTTTTCCCAAGGTGGAGAACCTTGCATTTATCGGCGTTGAACATCATCAGATTCTCGTCCGCCCACTTGCTGAGCCTGTCCAGGTCAGCCTGGATCACCCACCTGTGTTCTGGTGTGGATGCTTTGCCCCAAAGTTTGGTGTCATCGGCGAACTTGGCCAGTCCGCTTCTGACTCCAGTGTCCACATCATTAATGAAGATGTTGAACAGTATGGGTCCAAGGACAGAGCCTTGGGGGACCCCACTGGTCACAGGACACCACGATGAGTGACTTCCATCGATTACTACCCTCTGGGTCCGACCCCGGAGCCAATTTTCCAGCCAGCGGATCGTGGAGGACCCAAGGCGACAATTGGCCAGTTTCTCCAAGAGGCGATCATGGGACACCAGATCGAAGGCTTTTTTGAAGTCAAGTCAAAAGGAGAACCTTTGATTTTTTTCACTCCAAATGAGTAGCCTTGAAGCTATTTTTATTTGACTGTCAGAAAGTGCAGAATAGCACTCACCCTCTGAGAAGTCAGGGTTGTTTAAGATGCCTCCAGTTTCACATTTAAAATGAGGCACATCAAATCACTACACTAAAGTTTAAAAAAAAAAAAAAAAAAAAGCAACGACAAAAATGATGAAACACTCAAACCTGAACGCTCCATCTTCCTGTTGCTTTTATCAGTATGCTGCCTCTACTTGACTTGGCCATCATGGCACCTTGTTGCATCATCTTAATTTAGATATGGGGCAGGGAATATCTCTGACCATATGTTCTCACTGTACATGGCAGAATGGCTCCTGATTGAGGCTGTGGATACTACAGCAGTACAGATAAGCAGTAAGAACTTCTGGCACCTCTCCTTGGCACCCTGAAATAAATTCTGAATAACCACTTGAGCAGGGCACAGCTATGCTGCGCATTAGTGCAGCCAAAGGCAGACTGTAGACGAGACAGATCACGTGCCAATATGGCAGCAAAGAACAGGGGTGCAATTATTAGCTGATTGCATTTAGTTTGTTGATGCCCCATCTCTACAACATGATAAAGGGGTGTGTGTGTGTGTGTGTGTGTGTGTGTGTGTGTGTGTGTGTGTGTATATATATATATATATATATATATATATATATATATATGCATGCACTATGATCACATTCTTTTCTTTTTTACTGTGTTCAGAACATAAGATAGTATCGTGATCAAGGAAAAATCTTGAGACCTAATATCTGAAACCTCATTAACCACATACTGCCATAAGTCATAGACACTTATAAAGAGTCAGCAAATAGACAGCAAGTAAACACAAGTATTGGGGTCCCAAAGGAGTAAAATACCCGAAAGTGCTTAAATCCTCTTAAGGTCAATGGGATTTGAGCACATTATTATTTTTTTGTTTGATGAAGGGCACTTTGGGAGCTTTCTGGTATCTTTAGAAATACTGTGCAGAACACCCATATATAGGTGGATTCATTTTAAGAATAGACAAAGACATGGAATTTAAAACCTGGAGTTATGAAAAATGAGCTAGTTATAATGTTCCTTTAAAAATTATATTATATCTGACATATGGAGCCAAAAATATACAGCACCAAAATGATTTTCTACTTCTGAATATTACTTCATACACAAATGCAATTATATGCGCCCATTCATGAGACACAGACCTCTCTAATTACACATTGTATTATGTACTACATATTTGGGCAGTCTACAAAGAATATTTATAGCTTTAATTAGATTACTGTTTACAGAAGTATAATTATTGCTAACAATTTTTCTATTACAAGTACAAATAATCATGTAATTGTTCTGTAATCACATCATTATTTGTCAATGTTCACTTTTTTATATTAGTTCCAAATATATTCATCAAACAATACTAAAAAGAGAATAAGTAATCAAGTAATTACTCTGCTTCTGGAAGCATTTATATACTTGATTGTGTCTTATAAAATGAAGGGTCAACTCATTCTTAGAGAATAAATTTTGAATGAGTTTGGTTTAATACAAGGGTATAAAAATACTGTTTAAAGATTATTTGCTGAGAAACCCCTGTCTATTTTTAGATCTCTGTGAGAGTCTGCTGCTTCATTTGCACGATTTTTATGTTGTACTTGCACCTAAGTCACAGAGAAAAAAAAATCAATGGACTACTTGCTGTTGAAATTTCCTAGCTTTGGTTTTATTTTCCAAAACAGGCAGTCATTCATGCAGCACTGGGCATTAGACCGGTGATTTAAGGCCTGCTTCTGTGAGCACTTATGCATGCGAACAACCCAGTCTCATCATTAGCACAATTCAAGTCAGTAAGGTTTCCTGGATCAGATCCTTGTGGCTTTGATCTGCAAAATTTCCCCTGCAAGACAGACCCATAAACCAGCTGGTCACTAGTAAGATGCAGGCCTTAGATGTCAACTGTCACCTCTTATCCTCACTATTAAGTAGAAAATGAGAATAAAATACAAATTTAAATTGAAAAGACAAAAAAAGAAAAGAAGAAAAAGGAACTATTAGTTGAGGCGACCAGTTCATCCTGAACAGGCTCCAGTGCAACTATATAAAGTATGTTTTAGTTCAATATTATTAGTGACTTTCTTATCTTGTATCACAATCCTCATTACGACATCTTACTCCTCGCTGAAATGTGACTTTCTTAATAACCATTTACAAAAGAGAACTTGCCCAGAAATTCTGTGTTTTTGGAAGTCACTGCAGGTTTTAAGGGCATAGGGGACCTGGTCCTGCTTTTCTGGTCTT